TATCACCACTGGAGCTTTATTAATTTAGAGGAGAGAGCCTATTGAAGTTGACTACTTTTTCAGAGATTCGAAAACTCGAAAAAACAATGCTTTAAAAAATGTACCCAGATGGTATATTTATCATCCGAATATGACAAATGATGACATTATCTGAAACTTCATGAAATTTTGAACATAATAGTTTCTCTAGAACTGATATGTTGGATAGTTTGTAAGATATAGGCATTCTTTTTTCTGTTAAAAACTGTGAAATTTCGTCGAACACCTGTGAGAGTTTCCGATTTTTGACATGACACGAATTCCTCTGATAACCAGGGTCCTAGATCAAAATTTAATGGCAAATACAATTCTAATACCTGTTTTCCAATAATAGCTTTATATTCCAGAAAATTGCGAAAATTACGCCACAAACATAATTTTCATCTAAATAGTAACATAGGAATTTTCTATTAAAGCATGTTCTTTTATAACTAAAAAAATATTTTATATTGACAATAAAAGGTATCGTACATATAATCTTCTGAACAAATATAATCCCTGTAGCTTTATTAGTTTAGGAGATAGAGCCCATTAAATTTGACTAATTTTTTCAGAGATATGGAATATAAGGAAAAACAAGACTTTAAAAGAAATGCACCAAGAGGGCACATTTATTATACGAATATGACAAATGATGGAATTTTCTGAAACTACATGAAATTGTTAAGAAGATAGTGCCTCTATAATTGATATTTGTTTCATTGTTTGTGAGATATGGGGGTATTTTTGTGTTAAAAACTGTGAAGTTTCGTCAACCTGCGAAACTTTCCGATTTTTGACATGACACGGATTCTTCTGAAAACCATGGTCCTAAAACGAAACTTCTAAGCGAACACTTTTTCTTTCGTTTTGTTTCAAACCGCGGTGACACGTCGGACGCATATTTTCCCTTTCAAACCATCGATCGGTTCATCTATGCTAAACGGGTGATTGTAACCCACCGTGCGCACCCATTGCGACTAGAATTCGCCAAAGCAGATGTTGTAGTGTCCATCGTTCATTGGATGTTTGTCGCTGACTATCGCATAAGGGTACTTTCATGTTGGAGCTGCGACAAACGATGAAAGCAGCGCTAAGAGCGAAGCAACGAGAACGTCGCCATGGAATCAAATGGAAGTGTTCATGATGGCAGCGCGCTGATCACGAGATCAGCGCTGAGACTCCCAATAAGAGCGGAGAAAGCCTTTGGTAGGTTTTCGCTGCTAGTATCGTTGTTCACAGCTGACACACTTCAGGTGTTGTAAGTGTCGATTGCTAAGAAATGTATCATTTGTATTTTTGTTAGGAGTCAATTGTGGGACAAACGGGCCATAAATCACCGCAAAATGTTCGTTTTAGACCAATTGTAGGCCGACTTTACACGTAATTAGTACACGTAAGTTTTAGAGGTTAGGTTACATTCGTTTTTAATGAACAACAAAAATACAAATAATTATGTTATGACTCACGTTTGTTGTTGAATCATGTTATGGAAAACAAAATGTTAACTTAAATAAAGCTCATCATCATCTGGCAGTGATTATTTATTATTCCGAGTCATTTTCGTAATGTAGATACTCAAAAGGTACCCCCTTTATTTTGTTTGCCATAACTACCCACTTCGGTTAATGAATTTGTAATTTGCATCCACAACACCTTATAAAACTAGAAAATAATGTCTTGTAGTTGTGAGACATTCACCTAGATTGATTGGGATGATTAATTCTTATGTGCTTCCTATCCATGGCACCTTCACAATGTGGGTACAGTTCAGGCAGGCATAGTTTATAGCAGAAATTGTAAAATGAATTTATTATTATATTTTTAAATGTTATTAAACAATTGTGGATGTTTTATCAATGAATAAACAGAAGAACAAAAGAAGGAAAATGAAATGCAAGAAACAAATTGTTTTATCTAGAAAATTTATTGAAAGATAATTATTTACATTATTGCTTTTGATAGTACATATATCACATTTTCTTGAACAACATTTGAATTACACATTTGGAATTAAATTAAAATTGAAGTGATTGGGGTCAGATAATCCCATGCCACTATTTGGCAAAATATTGAGGTGTTACACCCTGCACAACCGTCAGCCTTCATGTTTATTAGTTTAAGATTTAAGAAACATTTTAAAATAAAACTAGCTTACCAATTACCTTTATCACTTCCCTGATAATATGTTTTCTTTGAAATTCAGTTCAGTTTCTACTTAAGAATTTAAAATCATTAATTTACAATGTTTTTTTTTAAAAACAATCATTTCAGAAGTCTTCCATGTAAACTTGGTTCAAATGTCAGGAAAAACTTTAAAAAAATGGGAGAGAGTGTTATGTTGTTCAGTCAACATTAACTGAGAACACCTAAAAATTTAGTATTTAGTATTTACATTCCCATAATTTCAGAAACTAAATGTTTAATTATTTTAAATCATCATGGACCTCAGAAGAAGAAGAAGAAGAAGAAGGAGAAGGAGAAGGAGAAGGAGAAGGAGAAGGAGAAGGAGGAGGAGGAGAAGGAGGAGGAGGAGGAGGAGAAGGAGGAGGAGGAGGAGGAGAAGGAGGAGGAGGAGATGGAGGAGGAGGAGAAGGAGGAGGAGAAGGAGGAGAGGGAGGAGAGGGAGAAGAGGGAGAAGAGGGAGAAGAGGGAGAAGAATCTGCCACGTAAAATAAGGCATTAATTAAATTCAATTCAATTCAAAGGAGAAGTAAGACTTTTTCTTTGTCTTCCTTGTCCTCTTTTCCTACATACCAACACTATTGACTTCTCTATGCTCACCTCCATCTTCCTATCTTCTATATTTTTTTCTAGTCTCTTTGACTTCTCATACCTCAGTCATCCGTAATTAGTAAAACAATGTCATTCACGTATTTCAAAGTTCATATCTTCTCCTTTTAAATCATCTCCTCTCACTCCTGGTTAATTTCCACAAAACTCACCAGCCCTGCTCTATTCTAATATATCAAACTTAACAAGAACCCTTCCCTTAGCTCTTTATCAAAACAAAACATCCTCGCCATTTCCTCGCCCACTTGCACTCTGCATTTTTCTCTTCATAGAAGTGTTTTATTTATATCATCTAACTCTCCCCTACAGTTCTTTATATCATCTAACTTTCCTCCTTTGTAAAAAAAGTATGATAATCCTCTTTTTCCAGCCTTCTGGTATACCACTTCCCTTTCATATTCTGTTCATTATTTTCCTCAATATTTCAAACATATCCTCCTGCCCGTACATCCACACCTCATTCCCAATCTCATTTATCACTCTTCCCTTCCTTCTCTTCATTATTATGACCGTCTCCTATCCTTTACAATTTCACCTGGTTCCTCCATCCACTGCTGCCTTCTTTCCCCCTCCCTCTTCTCCTCCCTTCACACCATCAGTTCTTTACATATCTCTCCCACATCCCTAGTTTTTCTATCTGTCTTTTCTTCACATCTCTTTCTCTGTTTATTACCTTTCATTTCTGCGTTTCCTGTGTAATTCCATCTCTTTCATCCTCTTTACATAAAGCCTCAACATTTTAAACATTTTCGCGAATATTACTCCTAATTTTTTCATTAAACTTTGTCCTCGGATAGCGTAAAGGACGATAATAAGAATGGTTCAGGTCTAATTTTCGTTTATATTTCTGATTTTTCGAAAATTCCTAAAGTTCAAAATACATTCGCCGCCTTTCTATAAGTACAATATTAAAGATTGAGATTTTTTCCTCTATAAAATCTGTTGTTCAAAGGTAGATCATGAAATAAGTTGATGTAGTATCTCTATAATATCTCGAAAATACGAGTTTTCTCGTTATTTTGGGTGAAGTATAGGCAATTTTTAAATAATTATTTTCTAAAAAACGGCTCTAATTTTTTTTAAATATTTTACTCTCATTTAGGAAAGGACGTTAAAAAATGATGCTGGTGCCGTTTTCGACAAACTCTCATTGCTTTTGAAAATTGCAAATAATTAACATTGCAAAATTACAACAGTGAAAATAAATAATATAATTTTTTGCCTTAAGTAATATCTGTTCTAAAAAATATAAAAACCTTTAAAAATGTTCATATAATTTTTTGAGAAAGCAAATAGTTTTCGCATAATTTATGCTTGAAGTTAATGCCATTTATAAAGAAGATTTCCTCCTAAACGGCCCAAAAGCTTTTCTTTAAAAAATGTTCCACAGATAGAACAATGGAAACTTAGATATTGCGCAGTTCTAATTTTTCGTTGAACATTCTGAATTTTGGAAAATTGTGTTTTGCAAATACCATTATTTGTTTAAGCACCGGGAGAAATCAGTGCGGCTGAGCGACTGCGTGTGTAGCGGTAAAATGTCTAGCGAGGTAATTGCGTGATCCTGCGTTCGAGTCGCGGAGAAAATGTTTTTGCTGATGGGGAACAGTTTTGTAGATTCATGTAGTGGTGTGATACTGCGGAGCCGTTACAGATAATACGAGAACGTATGTTCTGTTGTAGTAACACTAGTTGTTATTTTCATTAAATTTATTTGGTGTTCTTGAATATTAATGACAGCCTAGATGATCAAGAATTGTTGAAGTGAATTCATTTGCTTGAAGTATGACGGTTGTGGACGAACTTTACAAAGTAGTAGTTCCTTATTGTATTTTTACAAAGTAGCAATACATTATAGCGAACATCACTGACAATTATTGACTCTTGTTCACTGTAATCTGGCAATTTGGCACGTCTTACGATTGCAGATCATCCTATTCAATTCGTTGAATAAATTTTCTAATTTTTAATGAAGCAAGATATTTCTTCCAAATTAAGGCGTTTTCTCGAATTATGTTTGGCCCGTTTTGTGTAATTTGTTGTAATTGGTACTAATTATTTATTTTAATGTTTGTAAAATTATAAATTTTCAAAAATACTTTTTATGACCATTTATGATTGATAATAGAACAAAAGGCAGTTTTTGAATAATACTTGTTGATAAAATTGTGATTTATGTCTTTCATACATCGCAAGGTCTCTTAAAACAGCACTGATTAAACGCTGGCCACGTGACTATTTGCAGCCAATAGCATTCTCTGCCTTGTTTGGAGATTGCAAGTTGAACTGTGATACAGGAATGACTGGTCAGTATTATTCCACGAGCGGAGGCAGAAGGACGAGAAACTAAAACTATTATTGCAGTCTTCTTTTAGTGAAAGTGTGTTAGTGTGAACTTCAAGTAAACTTAATTTAAAATGCCTGGGGACGGAGATTATTCACTTACGTCTCTTAAGAGAAAATTATATTCATGGTTGATAGGTTTAACCAACGACAATGCAGATTCCTTCAATGATAGTTGGCAGGTAAGTTATCCTTTCGTAAGAAACGCAATCAAATACTTGTGAGACATCACATTTGTGATTATATACATGTGTGTTGCTCCCAAAAGTTAAGTTTCGTGTGTGTTCTTGGCGCAGTCGTTAAATAGATTTTAATTGACGTACGAACGCTGGATAGTAAGTTAATGAAAGCTATAGCTTCTATTGGGACTTTCACGAGTATTAACGAAAGCTCGGGAAAAACTTTGAGTATTTGTTCCGGGTGTGCAATGATAACTTCCAAATATTGGCAGATGTAAAGTTGCATTACAGCCTCCGAAAATTCCTGACTATGTACTGCTCAACAATTTGTAATATCGGTGTCAAAATTTAAAAACCGATATTCCACTGAATACAAGAACTTAAAATTGTTAAACTTCAATTTTCATTGATTTACTTAATCAAGAAAACTAGTTTGGTCAAAATGCACGAGGGATAGTAATCCATAGTTTCTACGGCACCATTCGTATATATGTTTAAAAAGAGAATGCTTAAAAGGTTATAGAGTGTATTGGTACTCGGAAGCTTCCCACGACCTCGCCGAAATGAAATCAAATACTAGAAAGGCTCCAGAACTCTGCAAAACTGTACGAATAAAACTTGACGTCGCAAAGTGATTAAAACCCGTTGAAATGGATGGTCATTTCATTGAAAACCTTAATACGCTAACGTTTCGGAACTTCATTGTTCCCTCAATTATTAGATCATTTATATGTAGATCTGTAGACGCTGACCTAGACTCTCGTAAACAACGTCACGGTACAGGAAGCTGAGCGTAGACTAGAGTAGTCTGTTTTCCATACTTGAATCATTCATTCCTGTATATGAAGCCAGAGAGTGGAAGTGTTTTGTACAGATGTCCTTGATGCCATGTATTGGAAGATTGGTATTTTATTTTTAGATATGCCACCTTAGCAAGGTGGGTTTTAATGACATCTGTATAATAGATTTATTTAGATTATAGTTGAATCAGTAATTTTATTATTTAATTTTTATGTAATACATCCAACGTGAATGGACGCGATATAAAGGTGCCCCAGAGCCCTGACAAGGGAACAATAAAGTTCCGAAACGTTCGCGTATTAAGAATTTTTCCAATGGCCAACAACCATGAACCATTCCTAGAATTGTGCTCATGAATTCGAGCTAAAACTGTACTGTGATTTCGCCCTCGCTTCCATGGCAGCAAACGAAGCAAATAACTCCAGACACGAAGGACATCGTGAACCTCCTGCGCTGCACGGGGTTCAGGACGGTCGACATGAAGGTCGAGAAGACCGGCTCGCAGTCCTCGCTCACTTCGCTGGTGTGCCGCGTGACCGTCAAGTGCGCCAAGTCCGGGATGAGCGTCGTACTGGAGTCGGAGGGCGAGTGTCGCTGCCCGGAAGAAGCCCACGCAGACAACGCTTCGACGTGGTGCGTCTTGTCTCCGTCCAACAACAAGGTATTAAGGGGGTGATCTCCACTCCAGATACATCGGGGTCGCGTATGTTAAAATTGGTCTTATTCTTTTACACTAGGCTGCATCTGCAGGGCCTCGGAGGCCTTCACGTTCTTTGTTTCGCTTTTTACATTGCACAGCTGATTTCTGATAGCTTGACTTCTGTGTAATCTTTCTTCCATCATTCTAAATTTCGTTTTAGTCCCTGGCAAAGAAAAAAAATTCTAAAAGTTTTATATGTAGATTCTGAAATTTGATTATTTTACGTCAATACATGTGCAGGTTTTTAAAGGCCCTATTAAGTTATTTAAGACATTTGTTGAACATAATAAGTTGACTTTTATTAAAATTATATAAGAACTTTTATTATAAGAAAGAAAATTGTTAAGAATAAAAACAATGTTATGAGCATTTTTCGCGAGTGAATCGTGCAGGACCTCAAAGGCCCAACACATGTAGTTTCCCAGAATCTATGCATCTTGGTTATACTGAAAAAATATTACGTTTTCAAGCGGCTATGTCAAAAAAAATGTTCCCATCACGAACAGAGTTTTTCGTTCCGTTTACCTTCACCTTTTTTAGATGCGGATTTTTACTTCTACAGTCCTGGTGGTACGTACTTCTTTTAGTAGACGTACAAGATTGACCTCCCGACGAAGTTTTGTGCATTTTTTGAGTAATTTAGATTTTTTCGACTAGTGGTTAACGGACATTTTTAATGTAACACAAGGTCGTGCAGCGCTCCCCCTTGCTAACACTCGCGCTCGGACAAGAAAAGCTGAGCACAAATCAAAATTACTACAAAAATGCACATGATATGAAAATATGTGTATAGTCTTTTTTTACGCTCATGAGACTAAAAAATACGTATAGTAATATCTTTTAAAGTTACCTCAATATCGCGTAAAATAAGTGAGAAAATAGAAACGAATAAATGTATTATTAGCCCCCATTGCTTCGTGCACTTCCGTGAAAACGGAATTGGTCATTCAACCGTTCAAAAACTGCAGGGGGTGTTAAAGGTAAGAACTCGTGAGCTAAAATAGATGTAAACATGGAAAATCGGCGACAGTTTATACGCCCATAAATGGTAATAAGACATCTCGAATAATATTCGTAATTAATAGGGTTTTAAATAGAAATACACTATTTTAATGAGTTTATTGCTGTACGCTCGATATTACCATATTGGATAAAGTACTGCTGCCCAACGAGAGGGTAAATTTTTGGCACATTGTCAGATGCTTTTAAATGAAATGAAAGAAAGTTGTTGAATAAATTGGTGAAAGTTAATTGCAGTGTGAACTCTAAAAACGGTCAGCAAACGAAATTTAAATTAATTTGTAAAGATCGGTAATTATCTTTCCTTTCAAATTCCACTTTTTGCTTCAGTTAATTTTCAATATTTCAAAAACAAAAAAACTGGTCGCCGATAAGTGTGCGTAACAAAACACTGCATGTTCTAGTTTTCCCGCCGAAAAATATTTCTCTATAGGAGTTTGCAGAAAGTTGTTGGAATACACAAACCATTCCTGAAGCTTCTAGTCTTGATCTGTTTTAGATTTGTCTGTTTTAGGGCGCCATCTTCAGGAGAATGCAAGCAATCCATGTCCTCTTTATTTAAATCTGAAACCGTCACACTGCAATATCGCGAAATGTCAGGGTGGTCCACGATTGCACATAGCGCCTCGGAACGCGAATGTAAAAACGCTTCCCTTGCGTTTGCTTAGACCGGGGCTTCTTTACGTAGGAATAGCCGCGATTCAGCGTGTCATTCTCAGTAAGTGAAAAATAGGCCTTCGGAGGTCAGGCGAAAATATTCCATTCGTAATTCTAGGCCAGGCTTGTTGAGGTCGCGGGCAAGGTAACACATTCTAAAGCTCGTGGGCACTGCTTACAAAGAAATTGGTGAGAGATTTATAAGTAAGGGTTGTACAAAATGCTACGGAGTGCCGATAAGTCTCGGAATACTTGGCTCAAGAGTCCTTTGAAAAGGTACCGGACACTTGTCGCAAATTTCGCCATCTTAATTCCCATTTTGTCTTCAAAGCCCAAGAAATGATACATGAAATCGAAATATCAGTCGGATTTCAAATTCTCAAATCAAGATCCTGTCGATTCATTTTTTGTTACTTTCAACATTAAAAATCAAAAGGATCTTGGATTTTGTAATAGTGTTCACTTCAGTGATACAAAAGCATTAACTTGCAGGTTAGGAAGTTTGACAAATTTTCTTATCTGTTAAAGGCGCTGTCTGTCGTAAGCGAAAATTAACATAGACTTGTTAATTTATTTCACATTATTGCTAAATAAACAAATAAATAATTGAATGATTCCATAACAAAACTAAAACCAGGACTAAATTCGCCATGCTAACATAGTCATGTCACTTAGAAAATTATTTATATAAGGGATAATTTAGTAAGAAAATAAATATGAAATAAGTAGTGAAGAACTTGAAAATTCATTAATTCTCGGTTATTCGATAGAAAAAGAAATTAATATTTTCGTATGAAGCCACTATACGCACTCTTGCTGCTTCAGCCTGTACACCACTTTCTGGATTTGAAGGGGGAGTGAGTGCGGTGTCAGGGGAAGTCGATCGTGTTCTCTTTTCTCTCTGAGTCTTTCCCCGTACGTCATATACAGTTTTTACTGTTTTTTTTGACTGAATAAATCTAAATCTAAATCTCTAGGAGCGCAGTGTTCCCCAAGCGGCAAATAGCTCTATTCCCCGTTGTTGGGAGTATCAATAATTCTAGCTATGGTATATTCTTGCCCTTTCATAGATTTTTCGATGCCCTCAGGCACAGTTTTCGGTAAAGGCATTTTTTTATGGAACTTATTATCACACCTTCAGTACATGAAAGTTCCAAAAGTTTTCAATTTGTTACTTTCTGAATAGGTTTGTAGCTCCTGTCCAGCAGGCATATCGGCATAGATGAATTTAGTTAATTGGTAAAAACAATGCATTCTTTTTAGACATGTTTTAATCATTTTCAAATGAGTAATGTTTTGTCACGGTATCTTACTGTAAAGATCTAGCTCGAAGTTGTAACATAGGAGCAATACTGCGGTCTAACTTCCCATCTCGATAGTCAGTTGCCCTTGCAGTCAAGAACGGCACTTACGTTTACTCAGCGCAGTTCAGAGCCAGGTCATTCGAAAGGCCCAAGATGGTAGGGACGTTTTGCTGGAAATGAAAAATAAATCTAGCGCCTTGGTTGGGACAGAGTGGAACTTGGCCTCCACAAATTCCCCGGGCAAGGTTTGAAGCCTTACAGAGGACAGTGACCTTCATATATTGGTTCCTAAAAGGAGCTTGCGTACAAAATTAAATAAATTAGGAGAGACCAATGAATTGTTTTAATTGGACAGTTTGCTATCATTTATTTGGTTTCATTTGTTGCAACTCGTCAGAAACTGCAATACATGAAGAGGGCTAAGCGAAGACAAGCCTAATGGGCATAAAAACCCACTGTAGTATCTAACGGCCTTTTTGGGCATGATTATTAATCTTCGCATTCAGGATACTTTTAAAGAAATTTAAAGTGGCATCAATATCTAGGTTATCAGCGACAACTAATACATTTAACGGTATGGCAACTTTAAAGGATGCTAATGATGATGATGATGATGATGATGGGGGGGGGGTGAAATTACGAACACAAATGCAACCATGCCCGAGGCGGGACTCGAGCTCTCGAACCTTCGGTCCGAGATCGCTACGGCAGATGACGATCTCGGCCATCCCGACCGGCAAAATATTATTTTGTATAATGGTAGTCTTTGTTTCGCACAATATTGTATTTATAACAATAATATCCTGGGAAATCATTATCGGACTTATTCTGACTTATTCTGACCTTAATTTTGTTTTCAAAGTGCGATATGAACTCTTGAGATTGGCGCCATTTCTAATGTTTAAAGTAGTACGTAACGAAATAGTTATTGCTTTTACAGGATGAATTAAACCTTAAAAGCAATTATCATAAAGAAACTGACAAATAATAGAACAAAACCAATTATTTACAGTAATGATACACACACACGTTCATTCATTCATTCATTCATTCATTCATTGAGTTACCTTAAGCCAAAGGTTAATTCACTCATCTCACAAATGGAAATTCAGAAAACCAATCTGCAAAAAAGAATACTTTTGTTATTGCAGGGATGCAAGTTCGCCAGCGATAACTTTTCAGCAATTAAAATTTGGTGCATGCATAATGTAATAGCAGGTTTTAATGTTTATATGTCCATAAATTAACATTTCGTGAGAAGAGGTTGTGTTAATTGTTAAGTTGGTTATGTGGGTAAATAAGGTAAATAATGAAAGTTTTTATAATGAGCGTACAATTTTGAAAACTATTTATTTTGATGCTTCATAATTCAGTCTCTTAATTAGGTCTCCGATTCGACCACTCCGAAAATGCTGAGTTTTGGCATTTTTGTTCGAAAACTGCTTCGGGTTTGTTCTGATATTCTGGTAGTTTCAAGCCTTTAGATTGGTAAAATTCTTCTAATTTTTTTATGCCCCGATTCTAGCACGTTTAATTAGCCTAATTTTTTAAGTCTTAATATGACAATCTTGGCCTGCTTCATATCTTGAAGCGTCTACATATATTACATAGTTTTTTGTCAGAAAGGCACATTTTTCGAAAATTTCGTTTGACTCTCAAAACAGAAAGTGAGATACTCGATGTCTAGAATAACTAATTATTTTGATGTAAGATGGTGCGTGATCGAACATCCAGTGACATAACACAGGACTGAAAATTTTTTCGTGTTTGCCACCAATCTAACGCAAAATCTTAATACACAATTTAAAAGGATAGTTGCTTAGTATAGCAAGAAATGAAGGAAGTTTCTCTGTAAGTCTGATATCTTCACATTAGAAAAGTTTCATTTTTGCCCGGTCTTTCTGGCGGAGATTCAATATTCGTGGAACAAAATATAATGAATAATGTCCACAACTAATATAAACTTAAGCATATTCAGTTTTAAGTATATTCTTGACAATTTTCATTTTCTGGCCCTACAGTAAAATACGCCGCAACGAAGAATACGAAGTTAATTGAAAAACAAATTACAAATTTTACACCATAAAATGTTGATTTCAGAGATTTCACTATTACAGAACTAACTTTTTGTCTTGAAATTTAAATCTAAAATTTCATTTATTTGCATGTTTATTAGTAATTTTGATTCGCAGTCGGGAATATTGTCGTACACCACCTTACCACACTCTCTTAAAATGCCTAAACGAGGAAATGTCAAGTTCTGGACAACCTCGGTTACTAGATATACTGATCTTTTATTTGAACATTTCAAATAATTTTGGTTTAACATTATCAGTATATCGATGTGCGTATTTTATAGAATTTATTCTAATTAAGTTTTTGCAATTAGATCTCTTAAAAGATATATTTGCTAGAATTCGAATATTATTTGAAATCACCATTGCCTGAGAGTTTAAATGTTTTTTTTTTAATTCAAAACAATGGATCCTCTATAGGCAAATAGAGATTTATCTTGAACATTTTTACTTGTAAAACATTTGCGAGTTCCCGAAATCTCGAGGTCATAAGATGGAGAGGCTCTCCGTGACGCCTCTCGATACGTGAAAAACGTTATTGCATAGAGCTGGCTTTAAACATGTGAACCTCTGCACTGAGGGACAGAGACGCCGTGTATTATGACGCTATTCCGGTCGTGAAGTTTCGGCTAGTGCACTTCAAATCCAATGACGTTCCTTAATGTTCCTATTTTTTGTTCTAATTTGACTTCAAATAATATGCTACTTGTGGAGTTCGCCTGGCATGCATCCTGTACACAGGAAGGTCATGGGGGGGGGGCGACATACTCCATCCAACGTTTTTTGTAATTTTATTTTTACAAAACAATTACATTAGTCTCATTAAATTTCAAAGGAATTTTCCCAATATATATGCATACTACTTTTATTTCATGCTCACGTAAAAACTGGTTATTTATGCACTAAGGCGTTAATCGGTTCTAATATTAGAGCAGCGACAAAAAAACGGGGGGAATTTTGGCCAGAGGGCTTTTTGTCGTCGTTCACATGGGAATCGGTTCACATCCGTGGTAGATCTTTTATAGTTTTAATGATTCGAATTTTATTTACTAATTAATTAGTTGTTAACTTGACTCTGTCTTCATATTTACTTCCTAAAACAGGATTTTACAATTCCCTCTACAAGATAATCCTGTAGCATCATTCAACTGATATAATTTTACCTTCCTAATGACGATCGTCTAGGGCCAGGAAAGTTCTACAGTGTTTATCGATATACTTATCGATGGCAATAACAAGCAATTAAGTATCATTTTTTTCGTAGGTTGAAATAACTAGTATGCACTCTTTATGGGAACATTTATGAAAGATGTCCCGACAAATATAACACTATCTATGCACGTCTTTTAGTTCTGTTGGTAATATAATAATTAAAATTAGCGTTCTCAATTTCCTCACGACAGGGAGTCCTCCGCGATTCCTTTGCAAAGAACACGAAGACGGATAATAACTGAACGCTGTAGCTGATTTGCTTTTGCAAATTGTTTTTATTACACTGGAGCGAATCTCGATGATTAATTCTTGCCGAATATGCTAATTTCATCTGTATTCAGAATTCAACTTGGATATGGGTTAGGGTAGGGATCCCAGAATTTCAGAGTACGTGCAAGAGTACTTCTCTTCATTATCAAGTTTTTGACGTTAAAGAAATGTAAATAAATTGAACTATCCCCGTCGTCCCGCTTTCCGATGCGACAGGACACCCTGAATAAGTCCGGCAGCGTGGCCGGGAGCTCGCTGCTGCCCGAGCTGCCGGCCAACGTGTCTGAGCTGGTGGGGAGCGCGACGCGGTGCGTGCTGCGGCTGCTGGAGGACCCCGAGGCGCTGACGCCGATGCGAGGTCGCGCGTCGCTGGGGGCCGGCAGCGGCGGCCGGAGCAAGGCGCAGCTCTGTCGCACGTCCAGCGGCGTGGGCGGCGACGCCGGGCGGCTGGGCGCGCAGCTGGCGCACCACCGCTCCCTCGACGACATGCAGTGGGAAGCCTCAGGTAGGCGCGCCGCTAGCCAGATTGTGCCCCGCGCCCCCGACACTTTTTCAGTTTCTTTTCCCCAAGCTCTTTGCCGCCCCTCGCGAAGAGTACAGCCCGATGGCATCCCGCGCGTGACCTTTCTTGAGTTATACAAGCCTCCACAATACAAACCCACGAAGTAGCCCGATTTAGCCCGATTTCAACCCGCTTTCAACTTGTCCCGAGCGTGTTACCAGCCTCCACAAAAAAGATAGTGCCAGACTGCGTTCCATTCTCAAGCATCGAATCGAATATTCTTAATTTGTTGACTAATTACTACGTAGTGTCTCGTTCAGTTTCTAGGAGGAAAAAGGGGGCAGGCTTCCCTTAAAATACGCACAATTAAAATAATTATATTTTGGTTGGTTTCACTATTGGGCACTGTATATCGCACCTCCAATAGACGAGTGAAAAGTGCGAAATCGTCATTGTGCAGGTAAAAGCTGTTAAGAGGTTACAAAGGGGTACTGTTACTATTCTGAAGTTCATTTTGAATTAGTTAAATTACTGTCCGCTAGGTGAATATTTGGTACAATCTATAACGAGAATTACAGAAAGAATGCGTTTGAAGGCGATTTTTTATGGTCTTTAAAATTAATTTTCAATTCAAAATGGTGCTAAATAAAACGCTATTCAGTGCGTAAATAGCCCTAAAAATGAATATTTTTTTTATTAGTCTTATAAAATGGACAGCTGTACGATCTTTATTTTGCTTTATTTCGAACTATGCGATTTGCTTTTATTTAACATTGTGTGAAGTTTCAAAACCGACAAAAAATGTACTAAACATTATCCAGTTTAACCCATAATGTAATAGAACCATTATTTAATTCGGAAATCAGTATCTCTGGGAATGTTTAATGTTCCCAAATGTAAAAGGTGTGTAAATATTACTGTATCTCTTTAATATCACTTGATGAAAAAAATTCAAATTTTTCTCATAAATAAAAGATTCAGAGTAGCAAATCGTATGAAGATGGTACTAATGACGAATAATCGTCTCTCCCCATTGTCAGGCTCCGCCGTGGCCACCCCGCGGTCCGTGAGGACGCTCTCCGATGCTGCCCTTTCGCCGTCGGCGGCGCTCGCCCACTCCCACTCCTACTCCCGCTCCGACGGGCAGCTGGCGCTGGCCGGCACTGACACTGCTACTGCAGCTGCCACCGTCGCTAGCACCGGCCCCCGCACCGCTGCCACATTCAGCGCGGACTCCAGCGGCGCCGCGGCCGCGGACACGGCTTCCGACCCGGCTGCCGACACCAGCGCCAGCATGGACGTGGGCGCGAGCTTCGTCGCCCCGCCCCGCCGGCAGTCCACCACGCTGGAGGACTACCTCGCCTTCAAGAAGCCCCTCTGCGACCCGGTGGTGAGCATAGTTGGGATTGTAATATTCAGAGAGTATTAAGAAAATGAGATAGCGAACTCCCCCCCCCCGTCCTTTTTTTCTTTAGGGCCATCTAGGGACCAAGACACAATTTCAACACTTCCTTACGTTGCTCTTGCTTCTTCCTCCGGTGCTCAATCTTCTGTTTCATTTTCCTCTTCGGGCAATTTGTCACAATTTTCCTCGCATTCCATCCTTAGTACCCTTCAATTTTTTTTCAATATATATTTTAAAATCAGTTTCTTCTCTAAATCAACTTTCTGAACTCAGGTTATGGTATCTTTCCTATTCCAAAGATACACGCCTTTTTTGCCCTGTTATTATCCATCCAGAAGGTCCAAAGAAGAGGTCCATACTCTTCCGAAATCTGCTATTTTACTACGTTGCGATAAAGTTCATCATAGCTTGTTAATTTCCAGAATTTTGTGGTTTTAAAAGTCAAAATATTTCTTTGGAGTGTTTTTCATCATTTGTTTTCGTTAAGGACATATTTCTCAGATTATTTATTTAGATACCATTATTCCATCTCATGGAAAGTATTGTAGTGAAACTTTCCTCGCGCCAGCAAGTAAACCATTCAATCAAGTGTGACGGAAAAGTAAGTCATGATGGAGCAATGGACGCTTAAAAATGACGCCGGTCCCATCTGCGTTAAATTCTTTTAATTTCAGAAAAGTGCAAAACTTCACTTTGCCAGAGTCTTTCTTCAATACAATATTTAAGATAGTGTTTTTCTTTTAATGAAAGATCTGCCTTTAAAAAACAATTTCATTAGTTCATGCAAAAATTAGCGAAAAATTGTTCATGAACTACAGACAAGCTTATAAAGATTTTCTCAAAACCTAAACTCAGTAAAATTGTTTCAAATACTTGCTCGTATAGGCACTTACAAAAATATACGGGAATGGCTTTAGTCTACTTCTTTTTTCAATTTGAAAGGTTACAAATAATGAATTGCGGGAAAATGTGTTGTACCATTACTGCTTTAACTCGTCTTTTTCTTCTCGGCAATTAAAAATTGAACTTCGAAAAGATTCCTCAGTTCTATTTCTGGTAAATTGTGAAAATTGGTTATAGCGTGCAAGAAGTATTCATATCGGAAATGTAGACGTCGTAGGTTTCACTTGTCGGAAGATTGGTCCATAATGAAAAAGTGTGGCATATCCACGATCTGCGCGACCTTTTTAAATGGCAAACCTAGAAGGGCGATTAGTGTAGCCCTTCAATATAATAGATTTTCAGTTGTTTTTTTAGTTTGTGTTGTAGCTGCAAGATGTTTTATTGATTGGTAATTTTTGCCGTGATCCGTGATATCATGGGCCTCAGTTTCTCTGGTCCTATTGATAGATAGCATGTTTTTTTTTGTTTTTTTCGAAGCTGCAACTTTAATATTTTATTTCTCACGATATACTTGCTAAACGAACATTTCAATCATTCATATCGATAGAACATGAGCCAGAGCTCTATCAAAGTGAACTAGCAAAAAAATGTTATCTTGCTTCAAGAATTAATCTTAAAGCTCATCAGGAGTTGGGTACAAATATCGCAGGTAAGCTGGAACGAAAAATAGTTTGGCGGCGACCCTCCCTGAATACAATTATCTAAAAATTAGATAAATGACGTAGGTTGCTTTACTAACTCCAAATATTTCCACAGGAAATAAGCATAGAATCGACAGAATCGGTGCCATCAATAAACCTTCCAGTTGACCAGGATGAAGTTAATACCCAAACAGGTCCAAAAACAAATCAAGAAAATTGCGCCCCCCTTCCGCCACACAGAGCGAAAGAAGTTTTAAAGAAAGCCGAAGGAGCGATACAGAACATGTCTGAAGTCATGGATATGCTGAAGAAATGGATGATTTCAGAAGAGGTAAGATCTGTTTTCATAATGGTATCCACAAATACGCAAAGATAAGAGTATTCTTGATCTTCGAAGCGGAACTGCAATTTCAATAATGCAATTACGCTCGTTATTTTAATTTGCACGGTATTTAGTTCTATTTTCATTATTAATTTCCATTCGATGTTTATTTTAATAATAAAACGGATTTTTCTTAGGTGTAAAGTAGTCTAGATTCTTCTATAATATCAAATTACTTTCATCTATGAAGAAAACTTTAAAAATGTATCAATTGACCCTATCTTAGTGTAATATTAAACTTTAAAGAACCGAACCAGAGACCTTCCTTCCACCGAACAAATGTGCCAACCGCCAGGCCTGTGGAGTTGTTACACTATCAGATTAGATGGTTTAACGCAACTCGGGTGGTACTACGTATTAGTTATATAAATACATAAGTGTATGTAAATAAAACAACCCGTATTTTTTGCTAACAATAGTGATGACTTTGTAGCCCCTATGACTAACACCATAGTACAAACGCATGTCTAGAAAAAGGGCCTCATTTCATTCACAAACAATCCAGTATACATTATATAATTGAAGAGTTCGAATACCGCAACAGAATTTTCGAACAGTGACTATTGTGGAAAAACTAAGATTCCTCAAAGTAGTGTTCTAAATCCAATTAATTCATTACCAGAGTCGCGTGGACAAATTCCCCACTTACATGCCGTTATAGTAAAACTTATTATAGCATCCATAAAATTCTGTAAGTTACAAAAATCTAGTAAAAATTCGATCTAGTGGCAGTTCGCCAGGCAAGGTTAGTGCAAATTCGCGAATTTTTTTCTTAGTGTTCCACATTACATTTCTATTTGTTTATTTTTATACAATGCCAGCTGAACTTTTACCCAGCCACGAATACTATGAAAATCTTCACTATAGTCGTAAATGGATAACTCCCAGGGAAACAAGTTCGGTATGCCTGGACGGTGATTGGTTGGAGGACACGGGAAAATTTTGTTTCCTCAGGATTCCAATAACGCTTGGAGCTAGAACAGGGCAAACGAAATTTAAAGGGTCTCTACCAGCCAGTGGCGTGACGAGGCTCCTTAATCGTTTTGTGATTGTTCAATAACATACCGCATAACGTAGGCTCCAAGAATGCGTCTCGGCTATTATGGGTTTTACTCATTTAGTCTCTTTTCAACTAAGGTCATATCTCTAAGGCCATCTGTAACTTGGAGTTATTATAACGGTATACTGACGCAAACAGCAGTACCCCGGGCGGTATTCGAATCCCTAACACTTTATTCATGAGAAAGCTACGTCTTAGCAACCTTTAGCTGTCGAGACCGGCTCTTATGAGAGCTACGTAGTAAATTAACACATGAAAGTAACATCCTTTCAAATTGTCAGCAGCACCTTCGCAGAAATTTGAATTTTGCTAGACTATTTCAGAAAAATCATGAAGGGATTCCCTTCAAATTGACTTTTATTAGCCTATCTACGTCAGCACGTATGTGAACTTTTCTGAAGAGTCAGTTTATCCCTTTCGTTTCGGCAGGGCCCGAGCACCGAAGTGCCCCCGGCCAAAGCGAGAACTTTGAAGGCCAAGCCCACTCGGATGCCGACCTTCCGCGCCTCCGTCCCGGCGACCAAGCCTGCGACGCGGAGGTTGGCGGCGGCTGGGGCGCCCGGCCACGCGAAGCAGCAAGCGCCGCAGACGCGTTCGCCCAGCGCGTCCAGCGTGGGCAGCGCCGGCAGCAGCGCCGGCAGCGCTCGCGGCGCCAGCGGCTCCCGCACGCAGCAGGTACACATCTTCGCCTGCCTCGCGCGAGCGCGTGCCCCGGCATGGGTGGCTCAGGGCACACTGTTGCCCTGATCTAAGAAAAAGATGTTCAACAAAAAGTATTGAACGGCACCCCATCGATAATACAAGACTGTAATAAATCTCGGCTGTCGCCTCTTTTTTTTTTTCAAATTTTAACCACGTTTGATATTTGCTGTTTACCGACCTAATGGCATTATTAAAGATTTCCTAGTAAGTCGTCTAGGCTATCTGGGACAAACCGCGTCACTGACAGCGTAGACAACACAAATTCCGACCTCGGAAGCCTACGCAATCAATCTCCATGAATCTTGCAAAATTGTTACAATATTTTTGTCCCTTTTTAAAATTTAGGACAACCAAATTTGAATGTATAAAATATATTTTATAATTTTAGTCGATGAAATTAGACATTGCGGAGACTGTTCTGTCCTCTCAAAAGTAAAATTCAAAATGTTTATATAATTAAGTTGTACTTGATAAAGACGGAAGTCTTCCAATCGTTGCCGTCGAAGTTCATTAAATAAAATTATGAAATATTGAATGTATTTAGTTGTGATTGCCCTAAATTAAAAAGGGACTGAAATATTACAATATAATTTGAGGCGCTCAGGATATTAACGGCAGAGCCCAACCAACCTTGCATTTTCTGTTGGAAGTACTGTAAGCTTCTGACATATACCAATCATCGTTTTCTCAAAACTAACTTGGGACGGCATCTTCTGTTATTATTCTGAGCACCTAGATTATTTTATTTATTTGTTTTAATCCTATAAGAGGCTAAGGCCTCCCGCAGGAGCGGGGATGTCAGTTCGTAGACCTTCAGTTTCATAACATAGTGTGCTTAGTATTAAACATTATGTATTTATGTTGAATAACAGTATATAATATATACTTAGTGTTCTGTATTAACTAAAAGATGAACATTTTTGCACATTGATTTCAAGTTCCTTCCAAACTTGTCTGTTTTTTCTACTTGCTACCAGTGCCGGTGACAACCAAATCAAAACTTGTACGTTATCAAAATTCTGTCTTCCCCACAGGGCACGCATAAAACGCCCAAACCAAATGCGGGATCAGGACCGTCGAAGCCGCTCGCGAAAACGGCCGTGGCTGCCTTGCGGCGCTGCTCCCTGGAAGACGCCGGCGCCGCGACGGCGACGCCGCCAGGGACGCCCCGCGCGCCGCGCACGCCCATGTTGCGCCGGCCCCGCGCCGCCGCCGCCGCCGCCGCCTCCTCCCCATACGTGGCCACGGCGTCTAGCTTCGGCCTCGCCCGCTCCCCGCGGCCCAGCCCTACCTCCGCCTCCGCCCTCGGCCAAACCACCAGTCCCAGCCCCCGGCCCAGCCCCAGGGCACGCGTGCCCCCGCCAAAGCCGAAGCGAACCTCCGCGGACTGAACTGGACATCTAGACCTAACTGATTCTTACCTTAATGTTCGCGTTTTGAAAGATTTTATTAAATGAAAAATTGAAAATCCGCGTATTAAATTTTAATGTTTTACAAAAAGTATAAGCTGTTGGACTGAACATGGAGGATTTTGAAATGTATGTTTTACTTCTATTAAGTCTTGTAATGTTTATATTAGTTTTAAAATTCAAAAATATATCCATTTATTTTTATTAAAGATGTTCTGCATTTCAACATTGATTTGAATTGTCTGTATGTGTAGGTTACATTTATTTTAAAATTAAGAACGGATCACATTCTTTTAAATTTCGCACCAAATAAATAAACTGCACTTTGGCATGGTTTCTTCTTTAACGATATAAGAAGCCAGTTGAAATCGGTGATTTAATTATTATTAAATCACTGACTTCAACTGGCTTCGAACACCAATAAAGTTAGTTTACTAAGCATCGATGATTGGAATGCAGAATGTTCAATTATAAAGTTCTGTACCGTTTTTATTAGTATTAAAATGAATACACATTGAAAAAAAAATGTTTAAGTTTCTTACTGTACGTATCTGAAAGTACCGTTCCGATTCCTGTTGGTATCAAAACAAATGTTACGTTATATACAGAATTTTGTAGTATGTACAATCTTGGGAACGTAAAGTTTCGCGTCGAAAATGCCTTAGCCAGAGAAGTTGGAGCTGGACGTACCTGTTTGCCGACAGTTCTATCTAACGTTTGTCGAAACTACGTTCTGTACATCGAACTATTAATATTAAATTTCATTGGAGAGCGTATAATATACTTTAACATCCATTGAGAGCTAAATAGTAATTAGTGGTACAGAGGAAAAAGACTTTCACGATTCCTGTCCATAAAACTGAATTGACATTAACTTCTATAAACGTAATGTTCCTTTCAAGTTTCGTTAATACAAAATGTGTTAAGAGTATCGAAAGAGCGAAATAATGGTTCAATGTCAGTGTTATTGTAAAACTCGTTTTGCGGCAGGTTCGATTCCCAGTCCTCGTAGACATTTTATCCATTCTACAGTGCATTAAAATCCGCTAAATTACAGCATCCTACATTTGTCTTGACAATTTTATGCATCGAGTGGTCAAAATTCGTTTTCGCGAAGAAGGCAAATATTCTAACTGAAGATATTAGAAAATTGATCGCTTGGATTTGAAATTAAAAATGTGAATTATGTAGTGTGAAGATCATAATAGATGTTAACACTGCACAGCTCGAGCATTTTTCATAGCGATTCAACTAACACAGCGGTATTTGGACGGCCCATGCCTTTTTGGAGACTTCTAAAAGATTTCAGCCGGTATGAGCAGGACCAATAACACCGAAACATTTAAATTATTTTTATTTAAAAAATAAACAAAACACTGAAACAATCAACATATGTAAAACTAAAATGTTGGCTGATAACACTAAATTGGGGGGTCTAGTTTCAACATGAAACTTTTCCATTATCTGTTTTGAGAAAAACGAGAAAATGCCATATCATTTGTTTAAAACATTCTGCTGCTAAATATTTGGGATCAATACCCTTGGCTAGTGGATTTAAAACAAAAGTATAAGAAAATTCAGGAATACTTAGTCATTATGAAGAAAGTTGAGCGAAAAATTTGGAAGAGTCTCATTTAATTTACATTTTTGTTGTATTTTTGTTGAGAACAATTTTCGTAAACACACTTCTTTTCATTAAATATTTTTACAGGAGGTATTTTTACAATCATTTTCTTGCGATTTCACTATTTCATGTGGAATTTTTCATCAAATATGATCAGCAACCTCTAACAGCTATCTTTCAAAATGCTAATCATTTTCAGTATGAGCTTGATCAATGCTTAGACCAAATGGATTTCAATAGAATGATAATTTTTCGTTTTCATATAATACGGCACCAAAACATCGTGACACAATGATCTCTGATTGCTGGATGGGAAATATCGTACTTTGCAACGAAATGAAGTTTATTGAAAGATCTCGTTCTGGTATTAACAAATTATTAAGAAGCCCTCTGGAGTAAACAATAATTGTTACGAATCCTTTTATAGAACGACGCAGAACCGTAACGGACCTCTATTGAAACTAATCTCATTTTTCACCAAAGGTGGAAAAGTCGCGTTTTGAAACACAACCCTCAATTCGCCGATTCTCACAATGCTAGAACAATTTTGCATTTATATCGGTAGCATTGACGGTCGATGCATTCGGAGATAACGCTCTGGCATTGCCTGCATCCGTTCATCAGTGCTGCGAAAGAAAACAATCTGAATGTTTTCCGCACACAATTCGGTGGCAGATATCATAGCATCCTCAAACAACATGCGATAGCCTCTGTATTCTTCTGAATGCTTGGAGTACTTTGTCATGTGATTTTAAATTAAAACTACAAGATTTTCTGTAGCAACCTTTTCAACTGTCTCCTTTGGGAAAGGTTGCCTTCGCTGTGCCGGCACTTTTACGGGGAGAGGCCGCGAAGGTCACGTTCGCCAAAAGCGGCAGTTGCGACGGCAGCTACAGAAAAAAATGCGCAGTATACTATCAAAATATTAACATATGACACATCGTTGCATGCCTCTTATCTATTTATTACTAACGAGAAAAATATATGGTTCCATTCGTTATGGTTTCCGTTAAATTTGTCGAAAACTAAAAATATTTCAAACAATATCTCTAGACCATATCACTTGCCCCATGATTCCGCATTTTTGAGCGAAATCTTTGTCGATATCGGGAACCGTTTAGGAGTTATGACGGTGGCCCATAGTTAGTGGGACTCCTTGTAGGCAAGCAATATATATGGATTTCAGTAATTTGTAATTGTCTAAATATGGACATATTTCAAACGTTCGAAATTTGACACAATGTTTATGCAAGTAATCGAAATACCAAAGTATTCATTTGGTTCAGCGGTCGAATCGTTTCTTTCAGAACTCTAGGCAGCATGATCGAGTCTAATATTTCCCCGCATTTTGTTTCTTGCTTATCCGTGTTTTTTTTTTCAAATTAATTGTATTACAGTACTGTCTATAGCGTAAATAATTTTTAATTTAAAACAAAATAACTCTGAAAAGGGCTCTTTAGCTTCCTATGAATATTTGTTCTTAATTCACCAAATTATATATTTTAATTTTATTATAGATTTTTACATTAACTGTTTATTCATAAATATCTTACTCTAGAAAATACAAGGAATACATTAACGAGGAATCCAAAAACCATCAGTTTCTACTACTATTCTCCTTCTACGTGTCCAATAGTCTCCACTAGAATCCACTAGTCTCGCCGCAGTTTTGACTGTGACGACCTCCTCCTAGGCTTATTTGATTAGACGCAAGAGCGCATAGTCATTGTTAGGTCCCGGCTCAGACCAGTTTTCGGCCATGGCCCAATCTTGTCTCGGCCCGAAGATTTCCAATAGGATTCAGATCTGGTGCGCATGGATGGTGGCCAGTCAACAACTGAATATCTTGCTTCTCCGCAAACCACGATTGAACCGAAGCCGACTTATAAATAGACTGGTCATGTTGGAATTGAATTACAGCCTCAGAATGCAATTGTCTTACTGATGGGATCATGATATGTCAGTATGTGGATGTTCTGAGCGGCATTTAAGTGGCCTTCGATTCTATGGATTAATGCAATCCTACGAAATAACATCAACCCCCATCTGTTACTGAGAAACGACCTGACCTGGGTATTTGCTTTACGAACCGAGAAACATAGCAGCTTCCTTGGGGCCTGAAAACGCGAACGGGTCCATTATTTGCGGAGGAGAATATAGTCTCATCAGAGAAAATGACATCAGCCGAGTCTTGATGTAAATATTCCTCCGCAAATGTGTTCTGTCAGCTTCGATTTTCAAGCTGCATTTCTGGATCGCAGACCAGCCTCCGAAAGTCTCTTGCGTATTGTTCTGGAACTTCCAGGAAATCTGGTGATTCTTCGCAGTTGTGAAAAAGTTTGAAAAGGGTATTCCACCGCTGTTTTTATAAAAATTTTATCTTGGGCAGCATCTGCAATATGCCAAAGCCCCGTACCTACCTTCCTCCCGGATTTTCCCGCCCCTCGATAACGTTTAAGGCAGTATTGCTAAGTTCTTGGCCCCCCAACCCCATACCGACACGCCGCCTCTGAAACAGAGATGCCCTCTTCTACTAACGTGATAACTCGCTTTCGAGTGGTTTGGCAATGGCAAACCATGTCGAATAATGAATACGGAGTAGTTCAATTTGCTTAGCCATGATTTCTATTTTATTACCTTTTATTTTGGCAATGCTGCAAACCCCTTATCTTTTGACCTGGAGTCGAAAACACAAGTACTGCGAAGGACAGACACAAGTCGGTAGTACCGTGAGGCTTACAAGAGAAAATTGATAATTTCTCTCAACAAAAGAAATGAGTTTATTCCACTGACTTACGAAACAAGAATATTGTATCAAGCAAAAAACATCACTATTAAGGCTAATTGGCAATCTGATGTTTCACTAGAAGCAGTCATATTTGCGTAAAGTGTTGGTAGAAGTGGTTTTTGAAACGAAAAAATTCGCAGTTTAGTGCCATTATTTTTTATTTACAATCTGTATTATATTTTTGTGTATAAAAAACGTGCAATACACATAATGGATTTCTACATACATCTGAAATAGATGTTTGTATGATAGCATAATCAGTCTAGGAACATTTTCGTCTTCAAAATACGTTTTTGACAAATTGTATTTTGAAATTAAATTTATTTTATTTTACTTTACACATACCAAATATCAATACCTACATAACTGAGACCTCCCACATGAAGGCAAGGGATCTCAGAAATAATCATCGGAACCAATAAACCAGATTCATCATCAAAACCACAGTTTAGACATTGCAAATTGAAAGCATTGTCACATTAAGAATTATTGTAATTGCAAAACATCAACAGTTCCATCATTTTTATTCACATTATGTATCAATAGCATTCGGAAATCTATGCTCACAATTACTATTTTATTTATTTCTATATAGTAGTATAAAAGAAATATGCCATATCAAGACAAACAGGGCATGTAAAAACGGGATTTAATGAATTACTTACAGATACAAAAGCAACTCGATGTTTCTTGTCGAAATATCACTAATATAATATTTTGTGATATTACTTGTTAAATGAATTGTCTTTCCGAGCTTTCACGAGTGCAATTTCATGGTCATTTTTTGTGACCTACGGCATTAAAGTTTTTTTTTCGAGTAAAAATGAAAATAATAGCACAATATTTTAACATTATTTTTATTCGCGATTTAAGATTGTCTATAGGATTATAAAAGATTATATTATTTTGATCTCAATGCCGCACTTTACAACTCCTATTACCACTTTTTTAGCATTCCTTATTCGCGATCGCGAATTTTGCCTAAATTATGCATAACATTGACAAGACAAATGTATATGTAATTTAGTGAATTTTATGGCACTGTAGAATGGATAAAATATCTACGTAGACTGGGAATCGAACCCGCTGCTTGACAAGTTCTAGAACAACACTGAGCCATTCTTTCGCCCCTTTTACACATCTTTTATAACTACACATTTTATTTAACGAAACTTGAAAGCAACATTACGTTTTCAAAGATTAGTGTGAATTCAGTTTCACTGGCAGGAATCACGAAATATTTTTCCTCTGTACTACTACAACTATTTAGTTCTCAATGAACGTTAAAGTATTTTATACGCTCTCCAAAAAAATTAATTTAATCTTCTTAGTTCGAAAATAAACGTAGTTTCGTAAATAAACGTTAGATAGCGCTGTCGTCAAGCAGAGATGTCCAGCACCTTCACCCCACTCCCTCAGAAACCTTCAAAATTTATTTCCATTCCGTTCACTAGAAAACAAATCCCCCAAAGTAGCTCGTATTCCTAATAAACACGATTTTCCCGTTTCCCTTAGGACACATGAATCTCTCAAACACCTAATTTCCTCTTGCAACCGCAGATATAGGGAGTATGAACTCCTCTGCCAAAATTGCAAAACTGTTGATTGCACTATACATTTGCTGAGAGGTCTCCTTGTTTTGCTTCAAGACATGAATTCACTATGAGCATATTTTGTTGTGTCCTTTTTCTGAAGTGGTCGGAGTAGAGCAGGGAGTATGGACTATTTTGTTAGCGATACTAACAATTCAAATCTGTAGTTCCTTCACTGATGCAAATAAGTTTTTTATAACCCGAAAGCGAAAATATAAAATTTTCACTTGTTGCTAACCTTTGTTTTCTTGATACTTTTATTCATCATTCTACTATTTGTTTCATGGGTGGGGAAGAGATTCTGCAGATCAAGAAAACGAGCGCCGATTGTACTTCTCCCCTACAGATAACACAATTTTTACTGTTCTTTTACGAAAATAGAGCAGATCAAGCCAAATACGTAAATTACACCGGTAGAAGGTTAAATGCCAGAATTAACATAGAAACATAACATAAAAAGATCGCACTTTGCTTCACCCCTCATAAACTCAGGCCACATTTTTCACTCCGACACAGACATTAAAACTCTTGAAACAAAACCTACATTTTGGAACACGAGTGAAATTTAGAACATTTTTACGTTCTATCCACTCAGAAATCTGATATTCTCTTCAATTAACAACCCAACTTCCCTGTGTCTTCTCGGGTTACAGTCCTGTTCCGACCTCTCACCCACAGCCCCCAAAAAGTCTCGACTCCGTTTCAAACTTGCCTCTGCGCAGTGCCTCCGGACCTTCACCGCCTGTTGTTAGGTAAGAGTCCCAACTTACTGTTTTACTTTTTGAAATTTAATTTGATATTTTTTAAATGTACACATATTAATTTGATTTCATTTTTTCACTATCTATTCTTTACTTTTTTTAGTATATGTTATTTCGTTCATATATCTTTAGGCTGATGATGGCAAAACCGCCGAAAACAAGCTCTCTTAATCAATTTAAATTGACAAAAATGACTTTCATTATTTCATCTTCATTATTATAGACAGTGGTTTATTTATTTCGGTAACATATTGTTTAATATTACATCTTTAAGTAATTCCATACATATTATTTGACAAATTAGTAGCTTTCCCACAATTTTGATTTACTTTGGACAAGGATCATCCCAACATTGCGAATTCACAATTAACATAGATATTTATGAGGTAAAAATTTTCTCTGACGTTCCGTTGTAGGGGGATCCGGTTAGAAGTTCATCAATCATGAACGCTAAAGTATAAGTAGATACAAATTTTCATTATTATTTCACGTAACCGTTAACAATTATACTGAGAATAAGTGAGGTTGTGGCAGGCTAGTTTCTTTAAATGCTATCTTCTAAAAGAGCATACGTGATATGTGATATTTTCATCAAAATCTCTGGAATTTAGAAAATTGCAAAAAAAAGCTGTTTTTGTTTAGTGAGAAAGTCAAACGAATGAGACAGACAGGTGATTAGAGCAGGTGGGAGAATGAGAAGTTGAGAGAATAGAGTAGGTGAGGGAATGGGAAAGTTGGCAAATGGGTCAGACAGACGAACGAGACAGGCAGGAGATAGGAAAGTCAGGACAATGGGGAAGATGGACGAATGGTGTTCGATGACGAATTAGGAAGGAGAGCGTATGGGACAAACGGGTGAATGGGAAAGGGGACTCATTACGAAGGCAGGATAATAAGGTAGGAGAGCGGTTGGAGTAGGCGGGTGAATGGTGCAGGCGAGTGGTAGAGCAGGCGGATGAAGTGGCAGATGGGCGAAGAGGCATGCATCCTTACGAGAAGACGGGCAAAGGGGTTATAAGGCGAATCGGGAAAATAGCGAATGTGGCAGGGGGGCGAATAGTGCATGCAGAAAATGAGACAGACGGGGCGAATGTGGAATGGGCGTCGAGAAGGGAGTGAGGCAGGCGCAGACAGAAGTGTACAGACGAATGGGCAATCGGGCGAATGGGTAAGGCGGGCAAATGTGGAAGAGGCTAATATGACAGGGAGACGAATGTGGAAGGGGACCGAATGTGGAAAGGGGTTAAATGTGGAAAGGGGCGAATGAGAAAGGGGACGAATGTGGGAGGCGGTCGAATATCGAGGCTGTGCAAATGGACCAGGAGAAAGAAAGGAGCAAACGGGCGAATGATGAAGACAAACAATTGCGCAGGCGGGTGGATGGGGTACCCTAACGAAGGGCACAGGCGTGCGAATAATGATAGCAAGCGAACGCTGGCGATGGCGGAGATGGGCGACGGGAAAGACATGCGAAAGAGCAGGGGAGTGAACTGGGAGGCGAACAAAGGGTCTGGCGGAGTGAGGGGCTGACGAGCAAAGGGGATGGGAGCGAAGTATCAGTCAGGCAATATTGAAGGCTCGACATAGATTAATTCCTGCTTCCCTCTTGTGCACTGGCGCAAAAGTCAAAGCTGAAAATCTACGAGAGTTGGGCATAAAAAATTGCCACTTTTTTGAGAATACAAGCACGGGTGGAAAATGTGAAATATGCACATGAAAGGGCAAAGTATGCCCCAAGTGCATGGGCCCATAACGACACACTAACATTGGCTTTCTCATATTTATTAAGGCATATGAAATGGCAGTACTGGTTACATGTTCCAAAGCATTATAGCAGAGACGAGTTGTCAGTGCTCCATTACCGCACGTGCCACGTCGGTCCGCCCACTCACAGGTCGTCACGTGCGCTTATGATCATTGGTTGCTACGCGACCTCGCAGAAACTGTCCTGCCTATTTCGTGACTGTCCCGTGTGGGAAATCATTATTCCCAACAGCTTCCACCAATTCCCTGTGACTTTCTCGGGCGTTTCTCCCATGAAGAACGGTGATCTTGGAGTATGAGCGCTGTTCGAAGCGGGTTACATTTATCTGGCGCGGCTGAAGTGAGAGAATTGATTTCACATTGCTCTCGGTGCTAATAGAGACACTCATATAGCCATCTGTTATTATGTACACACATCAGAAAAGCGTTTCTTTCGCGCGACAAAAAAATTGTGTGATCCGATAACATTTCTTTTAGAAGAAAAAATAGTTGCTGTGTCTTCTCCCCAACCTTCGTATGATTAACCCAAATACTTTGATAATTTACACCGAGAAAAGGATACCGACCAACACATTATGCTGAGGCCTAAGTTAAACTGTGAGTCTAGTCATGAGATCTGTAGTAAGGGAACCGTTGGAAGAATATGAGAAAGAAGGAAAGGACAACAGTAGCGGTCAATTAAGGAGGAAAGGACAGTATTTTGACCAAATATCAATAAATTAAATATTATTAATTGCTTCTATATATCTACCACTTATAAAGCATACCATGACCATGAGTATTCGCGTCATTCCACGAATTATTTTAATGATTCACGGTTACTTGGCTGCTCACCGCACTCGTGTTAGGAATATTTGAGGAATGTGCAACAGGACTCCAAACTGCGTCGCGAAGCCTAATGATGAGTCTGCACCTTGACCGAGGCACGTGATGGGTGACGAACATTGGAATGTTGCTTGTGAACCAATTAGCTAGCAAACTTGTACCTCGGGGGTAGGGACATTTGTGCCCAGTTAAATTCGACTGCGTACGTGGCAACTGGCTCTGTCGCATGGTCTACGTATCAGCGACGTTGGTAGTGTGATCTCTGACATTTTCGACGGGAGCTGCATTGGACTGTCCAGGAGGTAGTATTCTTATGATAATCATACGATGTAATTTGCCATAAGCGTTCTTTTTACGTTACATACAAAATCATTGTATTTTGATTCTGGTTTTTATTATAATTTACTCGCAACACAGTACGAATGTCTACATTACATTTATTTAGTGTGCACTGTCCTTGTGTTTGCTAGAACAAATTAAAATTTATATTTTGATTAACTCATGCCCTTTAAAGATTGGAAAGGAAACCTAATTTTATATTCCACGATATACATATTTCTTCAATCAGGCATATCGAAAGCCTAATATTAAACAAGTATTCTCGCAGTTGTGTTGTATTTTTTACAAGAATTTTTTGTCAATGTTTCTTTTCAGGTATTTTTCCTTATCAACCAGCATGCATTCACGACTTTCTGTGATGAGGTGCAAAATGACATTGCTGCTTGCTTTAATTGCCAATTTTCTCCCAGTCGCCAAACCATGCATGCCATTGTCCTTGACTAAAAGCGACTATAATAATGACAACAACGATTACCCCGATCAGGTACGGTTACTAACTCCACGAGATCTGCGTATTCAGACTTTAAACATTCTTTAATCTATCTTCTCTTATTGCGTCAATAAACTATAATCGTGTATTCAGATATTGGCTTTACCATTTCTGAAAATGTAACTTTGTCTATTGCATAAGGAAAATTTCCAGCCACATGATAAATATTATTTAACACTGGTTATTTATCTTTTCCAGATAGCAACTCTGATCATGCTTCCAAAGGGAAAATGTCGGGTCACTTCACATAATTCTGAAGACGGGGAACAACTGCATATAAACCAAAGTTCAAACGTCAATATCCATCCACTGTACGCATCTACCACATTTTCCAATCATTTGACTAACGTAGATGACAAAGGTTTTTTCCCTCGTCAAGACCCTTACGTAATGTGCCTGGTCTTTTGCCAGTACGAGAAAAACCAAACGATTTCGACTACAGAAAACACTGAAATTCGCCAAATATTATGTTTTCCACAATTCCAGAACAAGTGTTGTGTGATAAAGGAAATGATGAAATATCCTTCAGATCTGCCTGAAGAATATTTAATCCAGAACTATATACTTGTGGAAAATTATATGGAGAGTATCTCTGCAATATGCATTTTCTTTCATTTCTTATTTTTCATATTTGGTGTTTTGAGACTTTTTGGAAGGGAATAATAATTTCATTACAATTATAAGGGTTTTGCAAGCATTCATCAACTGCACTTTGTTAAATGTTCTCCTAACATAAAGAAGTAATTCCTTGTTTTATGAAAACGAAATGTTTACACATTTTCCTGGCAAATTTAAATAAATTCTAAAATCAATTACATTGTTTTATTTGGGAATTTAAAAAATCCTATATTTAACAGTAATTAAATTACGTTTTAATTTTTATTAAATATATTTTTCTTACAATTTATGGAAATGGAATGCAGGTAATTGTAATAAATTCAAATAGTGGTTCAAAAGATAGGTTGTTGTTTGTTAAATGATGTTTACTGAAAGTATTACTCCATTCAATATGTCATTCTAGAAGATAAGACTTATAGGTGTCTACCCACTGAAGAAAATAAAATGATCTGAAAAATAGAGTTTTTTCTGTAACTCTGAATAAAGTTTAATTACTCTCTATTGCTGATTTTTTCTGTCAACATGTTGGCTCCTTTTATTGAACCACATGGATATTTTTAGTGTCTCCTATTGTTAAATTCAATAGCAGTATAATTTCAAAAATAATTGCAAATCACTGTAATTTGAGAACCTATTCCTGGAAACAAATTCAGGATCACAACAAAGTAAAGGAGTGTTTGAGCCTGTGAAAAAGGTAGGCTCCATAAGAAGAATTATTAAACATCTTTCGGGGAAGTACACCATATAATATGCCAGCAAATTTGCATTGTATGACAATCTGAATGGTTTGTTAAATTACAAGGATTATGAGCCCAGAGGGATTCCAAAAATGTACATATATTTTTTATTAGAAGGTAAAATGTAAAATAATCTTTCATGATTCAATTTTTCTTCAAAATGCTCTTTAAAAAACTTCATAAGGCGATAAAGTAAAAAAAAAACAACAAAGTAAAAGTATAATATTTAGATTTGTTGCATTCCAGTATTAGAAGCGAATTTTACATTCATAAAATGCCATCTTAGTCACAGATTATGACGTATTTGCTGTTTATGGTACAAATAATTGCGTCATCGCACAATCATCTATTCGCAGCGACAGAAACGTGGGGTGGTAGCGGTATACTAATCAGTCGACCACGTTTTTTCGCACAGATGTCAAATACCTGTAGCGTGACAAGCTTTTTTCAAAAAATACCTTTTCTTCTCTTATAAAGTTATAATGTTCTACAAAAAATAATGTATGCAACTCGGTTATAATGTTGTTTTATTGTATAAGCTAACGTACAAATCTGAAGACTTGCTTCTCTCGTCACTCGTTTTGAAAACGTACTCGTGCAATAATGCCTAGCATTATAAACTAATTTCATAATTTATTACTATGAATCATTATCCCTACTTCTTTATTCTTCTTTTTGCTCATATATTTCTCTTTCCTCTTATCTCCTTTTCTTCTTCATCTTCATTTGTCTTCTCCCTACCTCGGCGGCGGACCGGCAAAGGTGAAAAGAGCATCAGATGATGTCACTGTAGTGCCTTTCACCGGGAGGTCCTGGTTCGAGTCTTGACGGTGACAGGATTTTCGATACTAGCTACACAGCTATATGGAATTCAGCCGCGGTCTATAAGAGAATTCCAGTAGCCGGTTGCTTTGGATCGGTAGATTTCCGTGATTTCTCGGATCAACACCAGGCAAATATCAGAGCAGTGCCGAATCAAACAGGCCACAAACCGCGCGCGATCTTTCCTTTCCCTTCCTTGCCTTGTCCTCACTCCTTATTTACAAACACACACACATTATGCACTACACTATCGCACTTGTCGGGAGACCAGTCTGGAGTTTAGAGCTTATCCCAGTTGGGGCGGTGCCCCGCTAGTTGGAAAAACCTAGTAGGGGAAAATTCCCATAAACCAACGTAGTTTGGCGCCGGATCGCGCTATCCAATAGGGGAAGATCACCGCCATCTCCCCCCCTCGATAAAAATATGCACTACACTTACGGGATTAACGGCTTTGTATTGACGCGCCCGGAATCACATATCAATCAATAGGCAGCGGGCAGCGAATTGCAGCCCGTCAGTCTAGGGTGGAGTGGACAATCTTCAAATTGGAATCGCACTCTCTCAAGATCGGCGTGATTAAGTCAAACTTGCATTGCAAACGGACAAATTGCATTGTAAACATCAGGAGTGCATACGGCTGAGTAAGAAGGGTATGCCTCGCCACTTCTGCGAAGGGGCCGGGAGCGGCCGTAATTCGACTGTATACTCGTATTGAGGTAACAAAAGCCATGTGATTGCAATATGCAAATATGCAGATGGCAATATCGTTTACAAAAGGTTTAAAATGGAAGTGCATTGGGAGAGCTTTTATTTGGACTCAAGTGGATTCATGTGAAAAGGTTTCTGACGTTAATATGGACGCACGATGGAAATTAACAAACCTTGAACGCGGAATGGTCATTGAAGCTAGATGCACGAGGCATTCCATTTCAGAAATCGTTTGGGAATTAAAGATTCCGAGATCCACAGTGTCAAGAGTGTGCAGACAATAGCTAGTTTGAGGCATAACGTCTCACCACGAACAACGCAGTGGCCGACTGCCTTCACTTATTGACCGAAAGCGGCTTGCTTTGCTTTGTGCCAGTGCTAAGAGACAAGCAACACTGCGAGAAATGACCACAGATATCAATGTGGGATGTATGACGAACGTGTCCGTCAGGACAGTGAGGCGAAATTTGGTTTACATGAGTTATAGCAGCAGAAGACCGTCTCGAGAGTCTTTGCTAACATCACATCACCTGCAGCGTATCGCTTGCGCTCATGACCATATCTGTAAGACCCTAGACGATTGAAAAATCGTGGCTTGGTCAGATGCGTTCCGGATTCCGTTGGTAAAAGCTGATTGTGGCGCAAACCCCGCGAAGCCATGGAAACAACTTGTCAACGAGCACTGTGCAAACTGATGGTTTAGTACATAATAGTACGAGCTGAGCTGTTTTTACAAGCAATGGACTGGATCTTCTGGTCCAAATGAATCGATCATTGGCTGGCAGTGGTTAAGATCAGCTACTTGGAGACCATTTACAGCCGTTCATTTTCCGCCGGCCACATTTTCGCAATTATGGACGGCTACAGAGGCAGCATAGCTCAATATTCCTGCAGGGGACTTCCAAAGACTTGTTGAGTCCATGCCACGTCGAGTTGCTGCACTTCGCCTCGAGGTCCAACACGACATGAGAACGTATCCCATGACTTTTGTCACCTCAGTGAGTCTCCGCGACTGAGTTAATGAAAGGGATGTCCTCTTGAAAAAGGTCGCGAGATTAAACGTACTCGAACGGCCTCTAATCATACGAGTTTCTTATTTTTTAATGATTTTGACACGTAAATGCGTAAATATTTTGATGATAAAAAGTATCCCAGCATAAGGATAATTTCTTCTTGACTACATTTTCTTCGAAAAACTCATTTTTAATTCAAATTAAAAAAAAACAATCTCAAGCAAAAGTGTTAAATTATTTAATATGTTTATGGTCGAGTCTCTTAGATTTCACTTTTTAAACATTTGCAATTTGGGAATTTTTTGGATTTTTCATACATTTGCAATAACAGTTTCATCTCTAGGTAATATCCCGTCTGTTACAAAATAATATTTACAACTCATAAAACAAATAATAACTTATTTATTTCATAGTTTAACATTGATAAAAATACAACTCTCTATTACCCCAAAATTCTAATACTTTATATAATTTTAATTGTATTTCTCCATTTGGCCCGATTTTCATAATCTCTCTGTTAAATTCTTCTCCTTCAAAAGTCACTCAATTTCTCTCAACCAGCTACGTTTAGTTCTTCCTCTTCTCTTCCTACCCACCGGATACCACTCTAAAATTATTTTTGGAATTCTATTGTCTTTCATTCTTTTAACATGTCCAAACCATTTTAATTGTTTATACTAGATAGTTTTTAAAATTGTATGAACTTTAATAATATTTTTTTATATTTTTAAATGTCTTTCTTTGCTTAATTTTGATGTCCTAGATGACCTTAAAATTTCCATTTCTGATGCCAGTAATTTTAGTTTTAAATTAATTTTTAATTTCCAAATTTCCGATCCATATGAAACGGTACTTTGTACAATAGATTTATATATCCTTAATTTGGTTTATTTTGTAATATGCTTATTCCATAATATTTTATGTAGCATTGATGTTGCTGATCTTCTTTTGTTTATTCTATGTCTAATATCAACTTCTTGATTTCCATCCTTTTTTATTTCTACTCCCAAATATTTAAAATCTGAACAACATTCAATTTTTCCTTTTCCGTAGTATAAAATTAATTCTGTATTATTTACTCCACAACCTATATAAAATGTCTTTTCCATATTAATTTTTAGTCCCAATTTCTTAGATTCTTCTAATAGTTATCTTCACATATATTCTACATCTTCAGCATTCTCTGCTGTTATTACCTGGTCATCTGCAAATAATGAAGTGTATATACTATTATTTCCTATAGGAATACCGATTCCTTCAACTTTCTTTTTCCATGTTTGTAGTGCTTTTTGCAAATATATTTATAAGACGTTGGAGACAAGTTGCACTTTCATTGCACACCTCTGGTAATAAAAATCAAATTGCCATCAAAATGTTTTCATTGATGTTCATTTCTCTCAATTTTTCCCATAATTGTGTTAACAGAATACTATCATATGCCTTTTCTAAATCTATGAATATAAAATTAATTTGCTGCTCCACTTCATTAATTTTAATTTTAGCTGTTTTATTACAAAAATATGATCAATGTTCGATCTGTTCACTCTAAAACCTGCTTGAAAGTCATCTCATCTACTTGTCCTCGAAAATAAATTTAGTATTCTTCTGTAAGGTGACTAAATGCATTTAACACTGTTATTCT